ATCATGTGAACAGCTAATTCTGGATGTCAACAACAAACTGGTAGTGGATCAACCAGTTTGAGAAGGTGCTATTTATAAGACTGAGCTGCAGCTCCTCAGACTGAAGTCTTTTGGATTAAAGATGAAACGTTTCAACAAGTTTTTATTTTTTACTTTTTGCATCAGTCCAGAGGACCTGACTTAACTTTGTTAGATATCAGGACTATATCATTTTCGTACAAAACTGTAAATGTTTCTTTTGCCCTTTAAAATAAAAAACTAAAATCTTGTTCCTTTAGGGCGAGATGAGCTTTGAGCAGGACTTCCTGGTGGAAGGTGGTTGTTTGAGTATAAAGACCAATGGGACGGAGTACAGAGAGGTCCGACAGTTTCAGTCTGATCACCACCTGGTCCGCTTTTACTTCGTGACGCGCGTCTTCTCCGAGTACATGCAGAAAATCATGGACGACATCCGCCACGGCTTGAAACCCGATGTGGTCATCGTCAACTCCTGCATCTGGGATATTTCAAGGTGGGTTTCATTAGACAGTTGGGAAGCGTGTCGATAAGGCCACAGCATTCACTGCTAATCATTTATTTCACTTCAGTAGTCTTAAACGCATTAAGTCGTTACATGTATTTAGCCAAATTTAAGGCCTTCAATGACATAAAAAAACATTTCATTTGAATCTCTGCAGTATTAAATATTTTTAATTTGTTTTTAAGAAAACTTAGTGATTTTTTTGATACCGCTGACTATGGTGATGTATTCAATATATTAGTGGTACATTAAAGTAACACACGAAACCATTAATTGTTTCTGGCCGGTCAGTTGGTTGTATGATGGAGGGAAAACAGGAAAACTTCCAAGAGCAGAAATAAATTGGGTTGACACAAACTCCAGCTGAAGTGGCTGGAAATGTGAATTTAAAACGAGGCTGCAGCCCATCAGTGGACAGGATGGTGAAGGATTTTGCAGCGTTTGACAAATTAAATTAAATTAAAAAGTGAAAACGGTCAAAGGTAGTTCGGTGTCGTGCCAAAATATATTTAGCCTCCTTGGGAGCGCTCACTGCCCTTTGTCTCAATTTGATTTGCTGTTTTTTGCAGTTTTAGTTCTTGAATTAAACAATTGACACAAATAATTTTTATTGGTATGCCCAAAATTATATTAGTTTTAAACGTTAACCACAAAAAGAACCGATAAACTGTGGCGCTCCATGAGCCATATCAAGAAAAACAAAACGTATTTCATAGTCTTTTGATTCATTGCTTTACCACTGGCTCTGAAGTGGGGGGGGGGGGCAAACACCCCACTGTCATGAAGAGCTACAGATCCAATGCATCACATTCATTTAATTTAATTTAAAATGTGGATTTTTGAGCTTTTGCACATGTTTTTCCTGTTTGCACCAAACAAATGGGTCACATTTGGAGCTGAATTAGGTCTAGGTAGACCTGTTGAACAAACGTGGGGCAGTAATGTTCCTGACACTTGCTGCTCCTGTCCAGAATGTCACACAGTTTGATCATGTAGCATCACTTCCATTTGACGAACACTGTCCAAGGTCAAACATATTCATGGTTTCTGATTAAGAGTTTGACTTTCAACACGATTTTGGCTTTGGCATCAAAATAGCACTTTAAAATAAGTCTATGCATTCACTGTCGATGGCATTAAAAGAGTTTTAAAATGGCATTAAATTGGTATTAAAACCCATTAAATTTGATTGGGTGATTTCTTCAGAAACCCTGAAACAGCCGTAGCTGTTGTATATCTAGGGACATAAAGATTGCATCATCTTTCCATTATATTCTGCTTGTTCCGGAGTATGGACCCATGGAGGTCCAGACGTCTTTCCACAGCCTCTTCCAGCTCTTCTGGGAGGACTTGAAAGGCATTCCCAGGACAACCAAGAGACTTAGTTTCTCCAGCATATCTAGGGTCTTTCCCAGGGTCTTTTCACAGTTGGACATCCAGAAAGCATCCTACCAGATGCAGGAACCACCTCAACTGGTTCTGTTCAATGTGGGGGAGCAGCAGCTCTACTCGTTTTCTCTTAGAAAACTGAACTCACCCCATCTCCGAAGGAGAGTCCAGATTCCTTTGACCATTGTACATCTAGGGATATGCACAATATATTTAAAATCAATCACAAAATGTATATGCAAATACTCCTTGTCAATAATTTTGAACGATCCTATAGACTCAGTTTCTGTGGCGTCGAGATCGGATGCTTCCTCCCTCTCCGCTTTGCTGCTCTGTCTGTCTGTGAAACTGCTTCTGAGACTCTGACACTCTCTTGCATTTCTTCCGAACCATAATTATGGACTTGTTCTGACCAGTTGGTCCCTCAACTCAATTTACAACATTTCTTCAAGAGAAGACAGGCTTTAGGCGAGCCGATTTACCCTGTTGGCACGTACGCAGCTGGATATCCCATCGACTGGAAGACTTGATATGTCTATCTGCTGCCTCTGTGGATTTTAAGGACACATATTTAATTGGATTCACGATAGCCGGTTCCTGCTTTTTGGATTCAGCTGGTCCTGGTATTTATCTACAATCAAGGAAGTCGTCAGCAGCAAATTTGGACCCGATCACGCTGCTTGCCTTTATGATGGTTTGGTTTCATGTCTGGAGTACCCAGACTCAAATGCTTTGGGCTGAATGGATCAGATCTTGGGGATTTTTACTCAGACATGTTCCATCGGTGTTGGCCATGTTAATTTGGACATTTCGGAACCTAGTGGACCAAACACAGACTCAAGGTTGATGTCATTAAGTTATGCCTGTCTCCGAAACAACTGTGTGTGTATCTAAATTTTGGTCGCCTTGGTATCCTTGAAGGCCATCTTATCTGAATTTCGCCTGGAGAAAATGTGATCGGACGCTCGCCACCCCCTCCCTGAGGAATTTCCAACTGATAACCAGATGAAACCCCGCTGAAAAAACTTTCTGCCATCACTTCAGGACTCTTGGATACTCAGGGGTTATTTTTGGCCATTCCTCGACATACCTCGAGAATGTTTATGGATCTCACCGGAGGACATTGACTGATTACAGTGACCTCGAGAGCATCTGTAGACGTCGTTGACCGCTCTCGTCTCTTCCTTCTTCCTGCTCTGCAGATTGTTTACGTAAATATGTGCTTGTTTGTGCGAGGTGTTTTTTCAATATTAGGGGTTTTTCTCAGCCAAGAAAAGTCTGATAGGAATTTTTTTTCGCTTCCAACTCCTACATGTGTCCAGTTAACCACTGTTTTTGTCTGTCCAAACAGGTCTCACTTGTAAATGAGTCTTCGAGGCTCAATGTGATTTATCTGTTTAAATAAAGGTTGAATGAAAAAGATCATAGTGAAAAGAATAGTAAATCAAAATGTTGCGTATTGATCACAAAAACAGAAATGTGAAAAAAACGTAACAAACGCATACAAAAAATTTTAAAAAGGCAAAAACTTGTAAAAGGATCAAACAATAGTCTAGTCAGATTTATTTATATAGCACATTTAAAACAGAAATTGTTACCAAAGTGCTTAGCAATAGTGACTAACATGGAGAGACGAAAGAAAATGACACTAGTCAGATATTAAGAATTTAAAATATACAGAAAAAAACATGAATTCTGAAACTAAAACTATAATGGGAGTAAATAAATACAATGGAAGTTAAAATTTCTGCTGGTTCTCTTAAAAAATGTAATTATAGAATTCAGTTAAATCAAATTCAACAAGCCAAAAAACAAAATTACATTTAACAGTTTCTATTAGGAATCAAACTGGAACCACCATAAAACATAACTTTTTTTATTTTTTTTACTAACGGACTGAACAGACGGGCCTTGAGTTTGCCGTTAAGAACATAAACAATTTTGACTCTTTCTGTAAAATTGAATACGTTATCGTCACATCTGTGTTTGTAAAGTACGGTTAGTTGTGGCAGACATCTTTCACCTGGATCACTGCAAAAGTTAATTTATTGATGTACATTTAACAAATGCTTTCTGAGATCCTCGTACAGTTCTTCCAGTAGTTCGTGGGATATTTTGTTAACAAATGAACACATCGCCTGCCTTTTGGTGGCAGTGGCGCAAGAAAGTATTTAGTCAGCAGCTACTGGTTGTGCAAGTTCTCCTACAGAGAGAGGTCTGTAAATTCATCCTAGGTACATTTCAACTACGAGATCAAATGAGGGGGAAAAAATCCAGGAAATCACATTGTAGGATTTTTAAAGAACGTATTAATAAATTATGGTGGAAAATAAGTATTTTGTCAATAACAAAAGTGCAACTCAGTACTTTGTAACATAACCTTTGTTGGCAATGACAGAGGTCAAACGTTTCCTGTAAGTCTCCACCAGGTTTGCGCATACTGTTCATGGTATTTTGGTCCATTCCTCCGTGCAGATCTCCTCTAGAGCAGTGATGTTTTGGGGCCGTCTCTGGGCAACACGGACTTTCAACTCCCTCCACAAATTTTCTATGAGGTTGAGATCTGGAGACTGGTCAGGCCACTCCAGGACCGTGAAATGCTTTTTACGGAGCCGCTCCTTCGTTGCCCGAGCGGTGTGTTTGGATCACTGTCGTGCTGGAAGTCCCAGCCACGTTCCATCGTCGATGCTCTCATTGATGGAAGGAGCTTTGGGCTTAAAATCTCAAAATACATGGCCCCGTTCATTCTTCCCTTAACATGGATCAGTTGTCCCATCACCTTTGCACAAAAACAGCCCTAAAGCATGATGTTTCCACCCCCGTGCTTCACAGTAGGTGTGGTGTTCTTGGGATGCAACTTAGCATTCTTCTGCCTCCAAACACGACGAGTTGAGTTTGCACCAAAAAGTTCTATTTTGATTTCATCTGACCACAATATTCTCCCAGTCCTCTTCTGGATCATCCATATGCTATCTGGCAAATTTCAGACGGGCCTGGACATGTACTGGTTTAAGCAGGGGGACACGTCCGGCACTGCAGGATTTGAGTCCCTCTCGGCGTAGTGCGTTACTTTGGTCCAGCTCTCTGCAGGTCATTCGTCAGGTCCCTCCGTGAGATTCTGGGATTTTTGCGCACCATTCACATGATCATTTTGACCCCACGGGATGAGATCTTGCGTGGGGCCCCAGATCGAGGGAGATTATCAATGGTCTTGTACGTCTTCCATTTTCTTAGTTGATTTGTTCACACCAACCTGCTTGCCTATTGTAGATTCACTCTTCCCAGCCCGGTGCAGGTCTACAATTTTCTTCCTGGTGTCCTTCGACAGCTCTTTGGTCTTGGCCATGGTTGAGTTTGGAGTCTGTCTGAGGCTTCTTAAAGACGTTACAGGTCTGCGAGAGCCAGAAATCTTGCTTGTTTGTAATTGACCAAATACTTAATTTCCACCATAATTTACAAATTCTTTAAAAATCCTACAATGTGATTTTCTGAATTTCTTTCTTCATTGTGTCTCTCGTAGTTGAAGTGTACCTATGATGAAAATTAGACCCCTCATCTTTCTAAGGAGAACTTGCACAACCAGTGGCTGACTGAATACTTTTTTGCCCCACTGTAGAGGGTGTCCACAATTTCTTCGCAGTACTTTTCACGGGTTGATGGATGGTTTCACCATTCTCCAAATCGTTGCTGTGTCTTGGGTTTGTAAATGCATGTAAAATATGCATTCTTAAAAAAAATATATATCCATCTTTCTGTTGTCTAGCCTGAAGCCAAGTTCTTGAACTTGGGACCTTTTCTTGATGAAATGCTAATGGTTATCAAAACCAAGCTTGGTGACGTGTATGAATAATCAGCTTTTTATTTGTGGGGTTTTGTAGATACAGATCGAGTTGGACTGAAGACTACAAGGATAACCTCCATAAGTTCTTTAATGAGCTGAGGATGATCCTGCCGGAGGAGTCCCTGATCATATGGAACCTCACCATGCCCTTAGGCGAGAGCATCAGAGGTGGCTTTCTGGTGCCTGAGGTAAATCATCCAGAGTTAACTGTCAAGACTGGACACAGGTTCTGTAACCCAGAAAATCAGCAATTATTTTCTCCAGCCATCAATTAATTTTTACATCTTTTTTGGAAAGTATGAACCTCAGTCCTCCTGTCTGCTTTCTGAGCTTCCAAACGTTCTCTTCTCTGCCTGGTCGACCACAGATTGAGCACAAAGTTCCCCAGCTGCGTTTTGATGTGATTGAAGCCAACTTCTTCAGCGGGACTCTGGCCGATGTCTATGACATGGACGTGCTGGACCTCCACTATCAGTTCCGGTTCTCCCTGCAGCATCGCACAAAAGATGGAATCCACTGGAATGCCATTGCACACCGCAGAATAACCTCTCTTCTGATGCAGCACATCGCGCAGGCCTGGGGAGTGATACTGCACTATCCACTGACTGCTGATGGTGAGCGAGGGTCCAAAGTTTGATCAAATCAGTAGCATGACATTATTTCTCTTTCAGCACGTTGTCTTTCCTGGTCACGTCCTAATTATTTCCTTCTACCTCCGTTTCTTTTCTCCAACAGCAGTAAACTCCACCTGCCATGGAGATGATTTCTCTAGCGATTCTCTTCCCATTGGCTACTTGAGCTTTGATAACCCAGAGCCGCAGCCTCATTGCCATGAAAATGCAGAGAATTTCAGACCTGCTGTCCAACCGCTGCCTCACCGGCCACCTTGCAGACGTCCGTATGAACAAAACCCGTCAAGGAACGGTAAGAGCTCGCATTGTTTTTAGAATCGCCCCAATCAAGTTTTAAAAATTGTATTCATATTTTAAAATTAAAAGCTCCAGTACCAAATTATTAACTAAATATTTAGGTTTGCAGTAGTCTCTCGCTACTTTGCAGTTCGACTTTTACACTCGCTCTTTCGTGATTTTTCAAAGATTGTACACGGCACACGCTTGTCAACTTTAATATTACTCAAGTGGTTGGGACAGTACGGGATACAGTAAAAAGTTAACGGGAAAAAACTTTGGACAGACGCTGCCATTTTGTAGTTTTCGCTCAGTAAGCAGTCACTGCATCGCCACTTATAAGGACTACATTTCCCAGAAGCCAACAGTTCTTCCAGCTGTTGCTTTCTGCTGAAATGGAGAGAAAGTTTTGATCCGATCCGAAAAAGTTCGGTCCTTTTTCTTAGTGACTTTGGCGCTCGGTGGATGCAGAGAGCCGTATGGAACCAACCGGGAATTGGACCAGAACCGGACTTCCAGCCTCATCAGTCAGTCCGATTGCGGCTTGCCGGCCCACGAGGCCTCTCGAGCGGGGAGACGTTGCTTGGAGGTCCGGTGTTTTATCCGGAGCTCACCAGGACTTTTTTCATCCAGATCCCTCTGAATTATTTGAACACTATCTGGAACATTGTGTGGTTTTGTGCTGGCTCTCTGGAAGTTTGGTGCTCAATGGCTGCAGAGAGCCAATCAGAACCGGACCAAGGCTGGTTAGTACCCATATAAATTTTGCAGTTTGCAGTACGTAGGGCTGGGCCATATATCATTCATGATAACGGTAAAATAAAAAAAACTTGCCCAGGAAAATAAATTATATCACGATGTGCTAATTTCATAAAGTAAATGCATCATCCCACCATGCAGCGGATTACGCTGCGATATTCAAGTTGTAAAGGTGAAGGCATGAACGGAGACATCTGAGAGCTGTGCACTGTTTTAGAGCGGGAGCGACACAGACTCATCTGAGCTGAGCGCCGTTTGTCCCGACAGTTTTAGAGCCGATCAGAGTGAGGGTTCAGCGCGAGGGAAGATATTGCTTTTAGCTTTTAAGCTAGCGCGCTGTTAACTTGGAGTTAAGTCAGTGCGGGCGGGTGGGGCGGGAGCGCGCGTAGCTCCGTTGTCGGTGGGGCACCCTCCTGTATAATGGGAGGGGAAACACTGAATGCATCGACCACAGATTTATGGTCGTGTGACCGCGGAGCCTGACCCGAGTCCCGACTGCTCAAACCTCGAGACCAGCTGCTTTCCTGAAGAGCAGGAAACTGGCTGATGGTTCTGATCAGCAGTCCGTTCAGGCAGCGTTTCATAGTTTTCAGCATTTTCACGAGTTTTAGAAGTTGTAGCTCATTTAATGGCAACATATTTTGTTGTTGTATATTACATTTATACTCTCCAAAAAGAACCTTGAGACAGTGATCCACGCCTTCATAACATCTAGGCTTGATTACTGCAATTCACTTCTGTTTGGAATCAGTCAGTCCTCCATTGCTCGTCTACAACTGGTCCAAAATGCTGCAGCCCGATTTTTAACTGGTACAGGCTATAGAGAGCACATCACGCCAGTTTTGGCCTCCCTGCACCTTCGGATCCAATTCAAAATTCTCATGTATGTTTTTAAATCACTGAACAGTTCCGCCCCATCCTATCTCGCTGATCTTCTGCAGCCATATGTCCCACCAGGCTCCCACACTCTGTCTTTTAAGTCTCGCTTGAAGACCCACTTCTATTCTCTTGCCTTTAACATGGTGTGATTTGTTTTGGTCCGGTCTGTTCTCTACTCTGTTGGCCATTTTTAGCTTCTGCTGCTATTTGTATCTGTATTTCTATTTTATGTTTTCCTGTCCGCTGTGCGTGCATGTTTTCTTTTGTCCAGCACTTTGGTTGGCCTTGTTGCTGTTTTAAGTGCTCTATAAATAAATTGGTATGGTATGGTAACAGATCTTGAGCTTTAATGTTATCGAGTTATTTTGGGAAACTGCACTTTAGTTTTTGTGGTGGATTTTGTTGATCTATATTTTGTGCAAACTTTTTCAATCTAAATAACAGAAGGATCATTGTAATTTTTTTCTTTTTATATTTTGAGACTGAATACTTTATTAAATAAAGTAATTGCAAGTTAATTAACCCTTGTTTTTTTATATATATAATGCGAAGCAGCAAGTTGATTTTGTCAAATGAATAACTCTTTATTTATGAAATTTATCATCATCGTCAGAATGCTCTGAAATATCACATATTTGAGCCATATCGTCTACCCCTAGCAGCACGTATGTTAAAATGACATGGGTTTAAACGTTTAAAATATTACAAGGGTGTGGGAAAGGTTTATAAAGCCTTAAAATATATATATATATATATATGACAAAGATGATATGATATTTTTTTTAAATAACGTCCCTACTTCGTGGATTTTCATTTATCTGGAACGTAACCCCCGCGATGAGGGACTACTGAAACTATAAAATACAGTTCAGTACCTGTGGCTGTATTATAAAGTGACTGTTACCCTGTACTATATACTTAAGTAATGCAAACATGTAGTTATACTTCTGTTGCTACTGTAATCTAACCAGACTTGAGTCTAAGCTCTACGGCGCCCTCTTGTGTTTGTTCCTGATCTAATTGTCCTCACAGGTTTTGGCAACCAGCCTACCCACTACTTTGAGCACCGTGAGGAGTATCCTCGTCACCACGATGACCACTTTGTGATGCGGAACCGTCACAGCAGACGCCACTACGCCCCGTACACTCACCACAGACCAGCGCACCACGGCTTTTACTGACGAGGATGTGCACGTCTCTCTCATCCCTGCTCGAGAGTGCATTTTAGTTTAGAAAGTTCTCGTCAGCGCCTCGATACAAATGTAAAATGTTTTTATTTGGGATGTTTTCAGGTTCGGCTTTTTAAAACTTCATGCAGTTTCCTGACTGTACCGTTTAAGATCTTTAAAATATAACGCCTTTTAATAAAAGCTTCCCGTCCACAAGTCATGGCTGTACGAGGCGTCTGCCGAAAAAACAGTTTCGCTTGTTGTTGTTTTGTTAATTACCAATAAAGTTTACCATAAACTGTTTGTCATGTTTATTGGAGAACAGACGAGCGACGACTACATATAAACTTACAAAGAAAAAAGACAGTTCATTTAAGCAAAATGACACTTCCTCTGTTCTTACAGGAGCTGTCGAAATCTGTGCAAAAGTTTTAATGAAAACGACAAATTCATAAAGTGACTTCAAAGGTTACACATTAAATTATTAAATTCAACTTCAAAGACGGCTGGTCAGCAGTTTTAGTGCTTTGCGTTAACAGGGTACAGCTTCCTGAGTATATGGGGAAAAAAAAAGTGATAATGTTGAAATGGAAGGTCGAGTGTCTCCGTGTGCTTTTAGACCATGAGGAGGTGGTGCACCTGCTGCAGCTGCTGCTGCGACAGAACCAGGCGGTGCACTTGTTCCTGCCCGCGGGTGCACGGAATGGCAACGCGACCAACAAACACCGTTCCTCCCCGTTTCTCTTCCTTAGCCTGAGAAACGGTATAAAAATGTATCATTTGTATTCATACAAACCAGGAAGAAGACCAAAGCGTGTACGGGAAGTACCTTGAAGGAGGAAACTGGGAACGTGGCGAAGTCAGAGGAAGCTTTGGCTCCAGGCTGGTTTGAAACCACGTGCTCAGCGACCTCACCCTGAAACAAAAGGTTTTAGTTACTGGCAATGTTTGTTCCCCGCAGCTGATAAATCATAACTAGAAAAATTGCATTTGCTGTGAAAGCTTATTACAGAAGAACTTGCTGAAATTAGCTAAAAACAAAGAAGCTAAATTGGCAGAAGAACAAGCATTTGCTGAACTAGGTTTAAATAAGCACAAATTATGAAATTAGCTAAATTAGAAAAGTAGCTGACGGGCAGAAAGCCTAAACGAACAGAAGTGGAAAGAGATGAAATGAGCTAAAAAAAAAAAAAGTAGAATTGGATGAAAAAGTTAAAATATAAATAAACTGAAAGTAGCAGAAATTACAAAGAAAGTCGAATTGATCTGAAAACAGCTGAAATTAGCTAAACAAATTTCAAAAAAGATAGCTGAAAAAGGTAGAACAAGCTTAAATTGGAAGAAGAAAGCAGAAAAGAGCACAAGTGTAAATGTCAAAAAAGATGAAAAGTAGATAAAAAGCAAAAAGAAGCTGAAATTACAAGTGGAGAGATTTTTTTTTTCTGAATTGGGCTGAAAAAAGTTGAATGAGTGCAAAAAATGTGGAATTGGCATAAAAACAGCTAAATATCTAAAGTAGCAGAAAAAGATTAAACTTGCTGAAAGGAGAAGCACAAAAATGTAGTTGGCAAAAAAAATTAAAGGAGCACAAAACAGCTGCAATTAGCCGAAAAAAGTTAAAATTTGCAAAAAGAAGGTGAAGCAGAACAAAATGTGAAAGGAGCAGTAAAATGTTGTAAACGCATCTAAAGATCTGAAGGATGTAAAATGAGCTCAGTTCATTTTCTATGAGGAAAAAAAAATGGCAGAAAAGGCTAAATATTATATAAGCTAAAATTGCACCAATACCCAAAGTCACAGCAGGATTGTTCTGAAAGAGCTGAACGTTTTGATTCATGATTTGTTGAAATAGCTGAAAAACTGAGGGACGAGAATCGTACGGAAGAAAAAAAAAAGGATCACAATAAAGTGAACGCTTCATAAAACACAAAACTTTTACTTTAAGTTTGTCCAGAGCATCGCTGAGATTCTTCAGTCGAGCCGTCTGCTCCAGCAGCTGGGCGCTGGCGCTGACTACAAGACGGGAGAGAAGGTTCAGAAACCAGCAACGGATCCAAACTCAAGAGGCTGACGGAACAGAACTGCTCTCACACACACACCTGCGGTCTTCCCAGTGATGTCCACCACTTTGACCTGAGCACTCAGCTTGAGCAGGGTGGCCAGCAGCTGGTCTGTCCTCCGATAAATGCCCGTGTTCAGACCCTCCGGAGGCACCGAGGTTTCTTTGGACACTTGTGGGAGTTTAGGAGGACGGAGTGGAGGCAGGGAGGCGAGCTGATCCCTCATCTTCTCAGCCTGCAAGGGAAATATTTAAATGAATAGAAATTATTCTAAATGCACAGTGACCAAATCCATCCCATCATTTCTGGAGTGGAACACATTAAATATTAAAGGTTGCAGAGCCCTAAACAGCTGCAGAACTCCACCGATAACTCCCAGTTTACCTTTAGTCGGTTGTTTTCAGTCTTCAGGTGTTTCATGCCCAGTCTCTGGACCTCAACCTGCTGCCGGAGGAGAGGAGAGTCCACCACTTCCGTTGGTCCCGCCATGGCCGGAGGCAGGCCGGCTAAAGGAAAAATGAAAACACTGTTGAACCTCTGGACTTGTTCACTGAAGAATTCGGTGCATTCATGGCTTCAAACGTCGTTTGGCCACATGAACCCACCACCTGCGGATCCATGAACGACGGAGGAGATTCCTGAGGCGGGTGGGCCTCTCAGACCTTCAATAGTCATCTTTGACTGATTATGGATGCGTTGTTTCAGCTCTGCCTTCTCCGCCTCCAGCTGGTCAATATCGGCCTGCAGAGCATCCATCGTCTCTTCAAACTCCCTGCAGGCGAGCGAGGAGGTGAATACAAGACACTGGAGGAACAGAGACGGAACACACGAGTTGAATCTTACTTTTCCTTTTTCTTGAGCTGGGTGAGGCTTTCATCCAGCTTGGTCTGAATCTTCTCCACACGTTCATCGGCGTCTTTGGTGGAAGTGTCCAGCTTTTTCTCCAGGAGACTCAGGCGAACGTGAGCCTCGCTGAGCTCCTCGCCCTGGAAACACCCACAACTAGTCGGTTCAGCTTTTCTTCACGTCTCGGACATCCCCGAACCTTAAAAACCAAAGTTTCACGTCACCTTAATCTTTAGAGATTTCTTGAGCTCCTTGATGACAGTTTCTCGGTCTTCCAGTTTGACTCCCAGTCCTTCGGCGTCTGTCATCTCAGCCCTGACGGTGGACGCCCTCGTCTCCACCGGAGGAGTCTAAAGACAGAAGTTTCAGAGGTTATGAGTTAGGAACAAATAAGGGAAGTATACAGTACTTTCTGCCATACGCGTCGCTTCGCCGTATA